TTTTTTTCATGTGTGTTTGTCGGGTTGTTTGGAATGGCTTTGAATTTCTTTTTATCGGAAAGAATGTCGTTCATTTTGTCTATGTATTCTGAATTGTTCATGATGACAGTGGTGTTGCCTTTACCAGCTTTTAGAATTTTAATGTTAGTGTCTTTTTTCAGATTATAAATGGATTTGATTTTGTTACTTATGAGGTTACTTTTCAGTTTACGGGATTGGTTGACTATATTAATAGTCTTGTTTGAGAATTCTTTAAAAAAGTTATTTAAAATAAAGTTTTTGAGAACTTCAGGAAACTACATTTTGTTGTAGTTGCCTGTAATAAAAGTCTGTTGGTTGATGTCATGGATGTCTTTTTTCTGTAGAGGCGTAGAATGTTCTACACACTCCATCATAATATTGATGCAATAGCATCCAACTAAAACAATGAGAAAAACTTAGAAGTTTCGAGTAATGATGCAATAATAAAACAAGCACCAATTCACAACAACTGAACAATGTATGATTCACAGTTACACAGGTTATTGCTTCCAAAAATAACTAAATTTAACACTTGTACTATACTTAAATGGAATCAGTTGTGTATATTTAACAAATTCTTTGAGCAGGGTAAGAGTGGGGAATTGAAGATTAGTAAAAAAAAGAGGTTACAGAGCATTTGGCAAAAACACATAGTGATGTGAATAGGGCTGTTGAGCTTGAGTAAATGCCAGGGTTAAGGTGATCAACAAGGTTAGGATATCAGTTTGATATGGATAACATCAGTTTTAAATAGGTTGATTGGGTTGTGAGAAAGCCCAAAGCGAGAAGTACCCCTGGTGTTAATGCAATTAGCTATAAGATTTACAAGAAGTGCCTACACATCCTAGCAATCTTGGCAAACTTCACTGATAAGGTATGGAAGAAAAGCTGAGCATCTGGTGAGTGGTTTATACTGAATGGTGTATACATTCCCAAAACAGAAAAAGAATGTGAAGGATAAGATTTACTTCATATTTCTGTTTGAAAATGACTACATAAACACATCACTGCAGAAGACAGGATCCCAAACTTTCCAAGGTGTCTTGAGCATGTCAGCATTATTTGGGCAGCAATCCAAGAAGCTAAATAGAGGAAGGGTGATTTAAATGTGGTATGATAAGATCTAGTGAATGCTTATGGCTCAGTACCCCACAAGATGATTGAATTAGCTTTGGAACATCTTTGAGTACTTGATAAATTTCAAGAAATTGTGGCTCAGTATTATCACAAATTTACCACTAGGCAGTTCACTAACACTTGGTCTATTAAAAGTAGGTATACCTATGGGATGTGTGATTTCACCAGTACTTTTTGTTTTGGCTATGGAGATGGTGATCAAAGGAACAGACCAATGTATTTCACAGGATACCAATTGGGGTCAATCAAGTACTACTATCACAGAGAGCATTAATGGATGATATCACTATCATATCCTCATATAAGAAAGAGATTGGGAAGTTTGACAACATCTGATCAGATGATATGATGGTATCACATGAAATTTAAGCCTAAGAAAAGTAAAGACTTCATCATTAAGAAGGGCAAGATCACTCCATGTAATTTCTTCATTAATGATGAAAGGATTCTGAGTGTGTCTGTGTGTAGTACAGATAGGTTTAGAGGGAAAATATTTCGGAATCAATTATTTGAAAGATTGGAGATTACTGAAAAATGTGGCCTACCTGGAAAGTTTAGGGTGTGGTATTTTCAGTTTGATTTTCCACCAAGGGTTTTGTGGCCTCTGCAATGATATACTCTATGCCTGGTTGAGGCTATGGAAAAAAAGAATTAAAGTGAAGCTCAGGAAATGGCTTGGGGTCCCTTGGAGCTTCAACTACAATGCACACTCTGTAGGTACCTATAAGTTGACTCTTCCAATTCTATCGTTAGTGGAAGAATACAAAGTTGGTAAGGGTAGGTTTCTCATGATGTTCAAAGAATCAAAGGATAAGGCCATCAGGGAATACTGCCATGACCCCAACACAGGTATAAAGTGGGTTGTAGGCACAGGAGTTGCACATGTAGAAAGTGGGTTAGTGAAAAAGAAGACTGTGGGAGTAGTGCAAATAGATAGAACATGTTTAGGTTGGGAAAGTCATATGTGGTTTTAAAAAATAGTGTACAAGAACATAGAAAAATTGTAACAGAGGAATTAAGGATGACTAAAGAAGAAAGAAAGGTAGCAAAAGCAGTATCTCAGGCTCAGTAAGGTCAATGGACATGTTGGGAAAATGCTGGTGATTGCCAATTGAAACGGAGAGACATCTGGCAGATATAATCATCAAGGCTGAGCTTAGAGCTCATGCTCAAGGCAACGATTGATCAGCTTCCTAGTCCAGTTAACTTAGTTAGGTGGAAAGCAAACAAGATTGAGAAGTGTCCAGTGTTCTTCTGGAGCAGCAGTTCTCACCCTTTTTCTCTTCACGAACCTCTTGACTAATAATAGTTTTTGCAGAAAACCTCTTTTAAGCAGTAATAAATTTTATGAAATAAAATAACATTTAAACTTCTTGAATTTATTGAAAATAAAAAGCTTCCGTAATACATAGCGTGGAACACATTTCCAATAAAATCTGAATCTCTCATATTGTCATCATTTTGCACTTAGCACCCAGTAAAATTGAAATATAATTCTTGAAACATAATAAAATATTGAAAACAAAACCATTTAACTAAAAGTAATGAGACTTCTGAGTTTGTTTTGAAGGATACAGTCTTTTAAAGCTGGGCTCAACAAAAGAGAGATATAATCTTAAATCTGGCTCTGGAACAAGCTCGATGATGAAGAACCCACTTTGAGACTAATAATGGCTGGAGATGGCTTGAATGGGTAATGAAAAAAACTTTAATATAAGTTTAACATAACAGCAAATGTACAACGTTTCGACAAAGTTTTGTCATCATCAGAAAATGGAAAAAGACGCCATTACCAAATTTTTCTTGCAAACCAACCACCAGTTGGGAAACACTGTTCTAGAGGGTTGCTGGAACACATTCTTGCAGAATGTGGGCAGGAACTTCGTAGGTACACGTGGAGGCACAATCAGGTCTTAAAGGTGCTAGAGTGATGTACTGTTATAATTTGTAAGGATGTGGAGGAGTATGTAATTGATATAGAATATGGAGGAATTGAGTTTGTGAAAGAAGAAACAATTTTGAGAAAGAAAAAAACCTATCAATTTATGAAGGGGGCTTACATTTGGTGTTAACTGGGAGGTATACACACACTGATCTTATATCCAAACTAGTGTTTACTTTTAAGATTGTGTTAACTGGACAATAACCCGATATGGTGATATAAAGCTTAGAAGTGAAGAAGATGTTAACAGTAGCACCTACTGTACCATGGAAGGAAAATATTACATGGGCCCATAAGAGAAAGTTGCTTAGGTATGAAAAGCTTGCAATTGTTGGACAGCATTACTCTAAAGTCTGGAATTGTAAGGTATTTGCAGTGGAAGTAAGATGTTGAAGGTATAAAACACTTTACAGTAGATTTCTTAAGGAGAGTCAGCATAGTGAGGTGATGCCTGAAATAGTCATAGAAAAAGGTAGGTCAGGCTGTTGAAAATAGCACTGCATAGATATTAAACCAGTACAATAAGACTAAGTGCAAGTAATGACTGGTGGTGCTATACTGGAATAGATCCTGAAAAAACATCTGAACATTGAGCAGCAGTTGAGGCCACTGTATGTTCTGTCTTCTAGGATTATTCAAATGTATCATTATTAAGCTAGTCAAGGCTATTGTCAATGACCTTGTCATACATGTTACGGGATAAGATCATCAGTTTCTTCCAGCCTATACTGTAAAATTTAAATGTATATTCCTTTTAATTTCTTTTCTCTAAAATTTCATCCTATCAACAACTTCTTGCTTAAAAGCTTATGATGTTTCTATAATTATAAAGTTTTTAACTATTTTTTAATTTTTTAGTTTGATGATCAAATTAGAAAAAACAAAATTCTGAAATGTTGGTAATTACTCATTTTTGGTGATACCATAATTTTAATATTTCTTACAAAACTTTGACTTCCAACTTATAAATAATTTTCATCGGCTGCAAAGAGGTCATCTAGTATCATCACAAGTTTTCTTGTCAAACAATAAATGGTGTAATCTTTGTTTTTCTCGGATACAAGTAAATGTGTTTTCTCAGAATTATATATTAGTTATCAAACATTATGACAAAGGGTATTTACTAAAATTTTCATAAGGAATCATAGGAAAATTATTTTTTAATGAAGAATTAGTTTTAGTTCTAGTTTCAGTCTTGTGAAAATCTGTAGGCAGAAACTTATGAAATAATAGTCATATTTTCAGCTCATTGCATGTTTCATACTATGTTGCACATAATACATTTTCATGTACAACAGTTTAAGATTTAAAAAGTAATTTAATCCTGAATTTTTCTAGCTGAAGATGTCTAAAATATTAAATGAAAGGTAATTCAAAAATATCTTTAAAAAACAACAGTAAATCAGGTCTGGAGATAGGAATTACTACATAAACAATTTCAAAACTCTTAATTATCAAATGATAATGCAATTTCATTGATGAATACATAACACTGATATTCTGTTTTCAAGAACAATAGTAATTTTCATCAAATCTTCCAAAACTGTCTTAAAACACAAACTCCAATAGACTAGAATAATGGGGTAAATAAACTGTAGAGAACAAAATTATTTTTACTAATGAAGTTTTTTAAATACAGTTTTGATCTTTAATTAAAATACTTGTAATCAGTTATCTTTAAAAAACATGTAGTAAATACACTTGAATAGGTACATGCAAATATAAAGATATAACTACTAGTACTTATAGATCTGTATGGATGTCAACAGCACTTAAGAATAAATTTAAGAATCTTCAACTAACCATAAAATCTCTTAATTATTGTGTAAAAAAAAAAAAAAATTTTAAGCATAAATTGCAGTGAAAAACAGGTGTACATTTAAAAACAAAAAAAGGATATTTCTGCCTGTGTAGAGGCATCAGAGAGTTGTTCTGGGGAGATTTCCACTCTGTCTTTTCTTTTATCTGACCTTCGCAACATGATCACAGCAGAAATATGTGAGACTCGTTTCTGGTCTATCTGAATATTTAAAATATCAAGTACAAGTATAAGCTGCAAGGAATATGGTTTTAAAGGAGAATTTCAACATGACTAGCATTTATTATCAATTCTGAAATTGTTAAAGATTCAGAGGAAGAGTTTGATTAGTATTCATTTAAAACATGTAAATTTTATATTAAAGAACTGTGTATCTACATAATACCACATGGATTATTCAAATACCCAGTAAAAGAAAAAAAATGATGACCTACATACACTGTGGCCCAAAGAAAGAGGGAATAAAACTAAATTGGGCTAAATTTGATTATTCCACTTGTATATAGGTATCTACTGCAAATGCACTGAAGTCATCAGCCATCTTCATAAGCAGCCTACAGTACAATACTCAATAATTAATTTACAACAACTTAATTATACACAGGGCTATTTTGAGACAGTACGCACTGGTACAGCATACTAGCACCATTTTTCATGTTGCATAATGGAGAGGAAGGTGACAAAACTTGAAAGAGTAATGTAAATGAATGTTCCCCTTTGAACAAATCTTTTGTTAACAAGAAGACCAAGGAGACCCAAACTTGAAGTGTTACAAATGATAAAGTTTACAGGAGTGTGAAAACGTACTGTTTACTTGATCATGTATTTGTGATCATCAGTGCAGTATGAGGTGTGAAGCATCAGGTAGGATTAGCATGCCATTAATAGGGAACATCAATGGTCACCTGGTTTTAACGCCTACAAGATGTGGCCGCAGTCAATGTACAGTAGTGGCCTCACTTTGATTGACAGGTTTCAATTGTGCAACAGCAGGTGAGAACTAGCCTGGATGTACGCAATACTTAGTACAAAAGAGACCACTTGGGACTGGGAAACAGGTGACCACAAGCGGAGTTGACTGGTATGCAGGTCTGGACTGTACATTTGTTCAAATAAAATAAGTCACAGTCAATATTATTAATCGCACAACACCTTCTCAGCCAAGATAAAAATATGCATGAGAGTCTCAGGAATAAGTTGTTTTGGTCTGACCTCAAGGTGGTGATGCCAATTTGAGCAGATGTGCATTTCTCTTCTACTTTGCTTTGATTTTATTGTGACCAGGAGTGTATATCATTTTTATTGCATCTTGAGAAAACACTCCAATGTAAAAATTAAAATGAATTACAAATTTCTGTGAATAAGAAAGCTAGAATATGTTAGGAAGTGACCCAAGAACAGGAATTAACAGCATCAGTGACAGTTTCTGTTCCTGGTCCAGCCGGTGTCCACGAGCTATCTGACAAAGACTGGCGTAGCTACTGGACTGCAGATCAAAAAAATTATTTTTGCCAGAAGTATGACTAGCTGCATATTAGAAATAAAAACTTGGTTGTACACCTTGCCATAAAATTGGAACTTTTGGAGTGGAAACGAAGGCAGGAATGAAAGTTTCTAAAGAATGGGCCAACAAGGAAATAACTTATTTTGGTGAAGATCGACAGCAACAGTTTCTGTCTTTGTGGAAAAAATATACAATTGCATTAAAATTGTTGGCTGAAACTGAGAAAGAGACCATTGGAAAATATATATATATATATATATCAATAAATCTAATACTATTAAGTACATTAATTGTCCTCAGGCAATTAAAATCAGTACCATAAAACAATAATGAACTTCATATAAATAAAAAACATTATAATTAGATCAAAAATTCAGAATTATTCTTCCATTATCAGTTCCTGTTTGTCATCCTTAAGTCACATTGGACAATATCTGTGGCCATAGCACCCAAATGCACTGGGGATATTCCATCTATCAGACAAAATCCCAACACCAATGTCAAACTTGCCAGCAATTAAGGGGAATAAGTTAAAAGTTTTCAGTTGAGTACTTGAACCCACACCATCTCAACTCCTATTGCCTTTTGCTGTCTGCAGCCAGTTGTGGGAAAGCAGTTACCCTTAATATTTAGATAAAACCTTAAAGTAGAAATAAACCAACATAAATTCTACAATGGAAAACTCCCAATCTTAGCTTTTTGTTTGACATGGAGAAAAGTCGATTTCCACACTTAACAGTAGTAAAGGTTCAATTGACTATAGTCAATTTTTGCAGTGAATATGTTAAACTACGGTTAGATCTTGTAGTTCTCTTCTGTGATTATAAGGAAGCCATAAGTGAGCATAGCACCATTAATGGTTTATTACAAGAAAACCACATACATGTAACAGAATAAAATATTTTACGTACAAGTTTTTATGTAAGTTACTGTACTTAAAAGTATTCCAGGTTTAAGTCATTTAAGTTATACAGAACTTTACGGTTCTGGAATTGTTTTCTCTGGTGCTATAGTAATATTTTTAAGCTCTCAGACAGAGAAATTAGAAATACTCATATGTCATAATGTTTTTCTAATGAAAATAAGTATTATTTTGTTATCACTAAACTTTGGCAGTTTTTTAGTTATATTATTTAAGAACACACACTTCTAGGTTTAATTATTACTGCTGGCATACTAAGTCTAAAGTTACAACTATGGCTTAAAACTAAAGCTGGGCAACTGATTCACCCATTTTGACTCCTTAATCAATTATATTCAATTAATTAAGTATTCTCATATGAGACATGCATAGTTGGAATATTTGAAAACAATAACAGTCAGAAACACCAATTTCAATTACTTGATTATTCTTTTTTTTCTTTACATTAATTGATTTCAAGATAATGGTTACTTCACATGACACTAGTCAACATAATCAATACTCATAAATAATCTTTTTATCAATTAATTAAGATACCTGCCCAGTTTACTTAAAACTAAATTGATAAGCTTTATTTTTAGGTAGTGGAACTAAGTTATAGGACAGTAAAGTTATTAAATATTAGATTAAAAATATTTATGCTATAGATATGAGTTCAGTTACCATTTCTTAACAGAGGATCACCCAGATATATATATATATATATATATATATATATATATACACCAGCCACAACTGTGAGTAAAGCATATGTCAAGCAACCAAAATTATGAAGAGGTAGCTAACATTGGCAAAAACCAGACAAACTCCCAAAAACCCCATAGGAGCAAGAAGTACAAAAAACCGAACCCAACATTACAGGGTCGTGTTATTGCCTCAACAGAACCGTAAGAACAGGGCAATACCTGTAAATGGTATTAAGAGTAGAAATCATAACTCATCAAACCGTAAATGCAAGGAAGACATCTTGCACCCAGAATTATAAATAGGATATGGAACATTTCCTCAACTGTATGAACAGTGTACACACAACATCCTGTTACTGGTATTATGAGGTAGGCTAAGTCCCTCCAAATTCAACCTATGAGCAGGGAAGAAAATCTCCTGCAACCTGAATTAACAAAAAGGGGGCCTCTACTGCATTCAACCATGGGAATAGGGCAGTGTCAACCTGAACCTGGTATTATAAGGAAGATCCTACATAGGCTGGTCCTGCTTCATCTGACATTTGGTCCACCTATGTATGAGAAGGAGAGAACCCAGCTTTGCTGCCCCCTTCTCACTAGGTATATAATTGTGTGATTGTATTGTAAGGTAAAGTTCTACTTCACACTCAGGAGGAAGCATCCTTGGTCCACCACCCTACCCCAGTGACTGAAAACTGGTAAGCAGTAAGGACTCCTGTGCTCCACTTGGAGAAAAAAAAAGGGGGGAAAGTAAATGTGGTGGGGAGTCCAGAGGAATGTCACATTGAAAAAAAGTGCAATGGGTGTTCACAATACCCTATTTCGAAAAGGAGACTATCCCCGACTCATCCAATCAAAGGATGGGCAGAAATCCCCTTTTGCTTTACTCATGATAGTCCATGAGCGACAGTCCACCACTAAGTTAAAGATATAGATACCTTGAGACACACAAGTATATACCACTAGGCATGCCACTAGTGAACTTGAAAAAAATCCCATCTCTACAATGAGCATTATAGCTCTACCGGTATACTGTGCAGGTTTAAGTGAAAGCAAATCTGACCAGGCAACACTTGCCATAGAATGGGATCCTATTAGTAGTGGTAAAAGAGGGTCCCTGAAAAAATAAAAAATTAAATGTTGTGAAAAGACATACCCAAGTTAAAGGCAAATGGACATGTGTAGAATCACCATGGGAGGGAGATGATATCCACCTGAGAAGGATACAGCCAGATAGTACATATAACGTGTAACAAAGGAATAGAGAGTAGTTCACATTCCGGCCTGAGCAACTTCTTCCAACAGGCAGCCAAAGACATGGTGATATGACAAATTTGATGAGAAGTAATGTTGAGGAGATAGTGAATTTCCATGTATAAGTCTGAATATGCCAGCCTATAAAGTTGATGAACCCAACCAGTAAGTAGGACAGAGGATAGCTCATGAGAAACAGAAGACTTCCAGGGAATAAAAGGTCGAAAATGTGAACCCAGAAGGAGGCACTACATGCTACATAACACCTTAGGGAGCAAATCTGACAAAGAAGACAATCTTACTGGAACGGGAGTACAGGAGGGAGATGGAAGATAAAGAAATAGGTGTGAAAGCCAAATGGCCTTTCCAGGTAACAGAAGCCTTAGGGAGGAAGGACCAGTCTGGATATAGGATGACATAAGAGAAATCATAGAGGATTCTAGTAACATTAATACCATAAATGCCTGATTGACGATGTCTGCAAGCTAGGAAGAAAAGGAAATGTGTAATATACCACATACCTAATTAACCAGCTGTAAAAAAAAAGTGTGGAAGGTGAGGTATCCTGTAGAGTGCAACAGATCAAAATAAGAAGGTGCCAAAAAAAGTGAATCCAATTTTCTCTCCTTGATTGTATTCATCCTCAGAAACATTGTCAGGTTTATAATTAGAAGAAATTGCCAGCTGAACATACGAACCTAGCTCTCAGCAAATTAAGACCTGTACCTCCTCAGCAGATAAAGTCGAACCTGATGCCTGGGTAGTTGTACCAGAAGCACTGTCTACCAAAACAGGAACTTCCATTGTCGATACATTGAACCATAAAGTCATTCTA